GGGCCAGTGCTGTTTCTGTGAACGACATACCAAAATAGAGCTAAGTCAGATATATGTATCTGCAATCGCTGATGATTTTCAACAGAGGAGAATGCAGACAAGGACTGGGAAACGCTGCAAAAAGATCTATACAAAATGAAGGGTTGGTCAGATAAGTCTCAGGGTGGTCAAGAAGTGGAATGACCTTGCTAAAGAAGTGGAGGTAGACTCCATACATAGCTTTAAGAATAGGTATGATAGGACCCATGAGGCTAGGAGTGAACCTGGAAAGCGGCAGATTGAGAGGCGGGATCAAGAGCTGTAAATCGACCCCTGCAATCACATATAGGTGAGTACACACGTACCCCTCCCCCCGTGAAGAGAATGTGGGTGATGAGGGGTTGTGGGTGGGGTTGAAGGCTGGTGGAGGGGTTGTGGGTGGTGTTCAAGGCTGGTGGAGGGGTTGTGGGTGGTGTTCAAGGCTGGTGGATAAGATTTCGTTCGGATTTTTAACCCCGGAGGGTTAACCACCCAGGATACCCCAAGAAAGTCAGTGTGTCATCGAAGACTGTCTAACTTATTTCCATTGGGGTCCTCAATCTTGTCCCCCAGGATGCGACCCACACCAGTCGACTAACACCCAGGTACCTATTTGCTGCTAGGTGAACAGGACAATAGGTGTAAGGAAACGTGTCGAAATGTTTCCACCCGCCGGGAATCGAACCCGGGCCCTCCGTGTGTGAAGCGGAAGCTTTAGCCACCAGGCCACCGGCCACCGAGGGGTTGTGGGTGGCGTTGAAGGCCAGTGGAGGGGTTGTGGGTGGTGTTGAAGGCTGGTGGAGGGGTTGTGGGTGGTGCTGAAGGCTGGTGGAGAGGTTGTGGGTGGTGTTGAAGGCTGGTGGAGAGGTTGTGACGGTGGTGTTGAAGGCTGGTGAGGGTTGTGGGTGGTGTTGAAGGCTGGTGGAGGGGTTGTGGGTGGTGTTGAAGGCTGGTGGAGGGGTTACGGGTGGTGTTGAAGGCTGGTGGAGGGGTTGTGGGTGGTGTTGAAGGCTGGTGGAGGGGTTACGGGTGGTGTTGAAGGCTGGTGGAGGGGTTGGAGTGGTGTGAAGGTGGTGGAAGGGTGTGGGTGGTGTTGAAGCTGGGGAGGGTTGTGGGTGGTGTTGAAGGCTGGTGGAGGGTGTGGGTGGTGTTGAAGGCTGGTGGAGGGGTTGTGGGTGGTGTTGAAGGCTGGTGGAGGGTTTGGGGTTAACTGGGTGGGTGTAGTGTGTAAGGCTGGTGGAGGGGTTACGGGTGGTGTTGAAGGCTGGTGGAGGGGTTTACGGGTGGTGTTGAAGGCTGGTGGAGGGGTTTGGGTGTGTTGAAGGCTGGTGGAGGGGTTGTGGGTGGTGTTGAAGGCTGGTGGAGGGGTTGTAGGGTGGTGTTGAAGGCTGGTGGAGGGGTTGTGGGTGGTGTTGAAGGCTGGTGGAGGGGTGTAGGGTGGTGTTGAAGGCTGGTGGAGGGGTTTCGGGTGGTGTTGAAGGCTGGTGGAGGGTGTGGGGTTGAAGGCGGTGAGGGTTGGGGTGGTGTTGAAGGCTGGTGGAGGGGTTGTGTGGTGGTTGAGTGTGGAGGGGTGTGGGTGGTTACTGGGGAGGTTGGGTGTGTTGAAGGCTGGTGGAGGGGTTGTGGGGGTGTGTTGAAGGCTGGTGGAGGGTGTGTTTGACTGGTGGGGTTTGGTGTTTGAAGGCTGGTGGAGGGGTTGTGGGTGGTGTTGAAGGCTGGTGGAGGGGTTGTGGGTGGTGTTGAAGGCTGGTGGAGGGGTTGTGGGTAGTGTTGAAGGCTGGTGGAGGGGTTTGGGTGGTGTTGAAGGCTGGTGGAGGGGTTGTGGGTGTGTTGAAGGCTGGTGGAGGGGTTGTGGGTGGTGTTGAAGGCTGGTGGAGGGGTTGTGGGTGTTGAAGGCTGGTGGAGGGTTGTGGGTGGTGTTGAAGGCTGGTGGAGGGGTTGTGGGTGGTGTTGAAGGCTGGTGGAGGGGTTGTGGGTGGTGTTGAAGGCTGGTGGAGGGGTTGGGGTGGTGTTGAAGGCTGGTGGAGGGGTTGTGGGTGGTTGTTGAAGGCTGGTGGTGGAGGGGTTTGGGGTGGTGTTGAAGGCTGGTGGAGGGGTTGTGGGGTAGTGTTGGAAGGCTGGTGGAGGGGTTGTGGGTGGTGTTGAAGGCTGGTGGAGGGGTTGTGGGTGTGTTGAAGGCTGGTGGAGGGGTTGTGGGTGGTGTTGAAGGCTGGTGGAGGGGTTGTGGGTGGTGTTGAAGGCTGGTGGAGGGGTTGTGGGTGGTGTTGAAGGCTGGTGGAGGTGGGTTGAGGTGGTGTTTTGAAGGTGGTGGGGTGTGGTAGTGTTGAAGGCTGGTGGAGGGGTTGTGGGTGGTGTTGAAGGCTGGTGGAGGGGTTGTGGGTGTGTTGAAGGCTGGTGGAGGGGTTGTGGGTGGTGTTGAAGGCTGGTGGAGGGGTTGTGGGTGGTGTTGAAGGCTGGTGGAGGGGTTGTGGGTGGTGTTGAAGGCTGGAGTGGAGGGTTGTGGGTGGTGTTGAGGCTGGTGGAGGGGTTGTGGGTGGTGTTGAAGGCTGGTGGAGGGGTTGTGGGTGGCGTTGAAGGCTGGTGGAGGGGTTGTGGGTGGTGTTGAAGGCTGGTGGAGGGGTTGTGGGTGGTGTTGAAGGCTGGTTGGGTGAGGGGTGTGGGTGTGGGTGTTTGAAGGCTGGTGGAGGGGTTGTGGGTGGTGTTGAAGGCTGGTGGAGGGGTTGTGGGTGTGTTGAAGGCTGGTGGAGGGGTTGTGGGTGGTGTTGAAGGCTGGTGGAGGGGTTGTGGGTGGTGTTGAAGGCTGGTGGAGGGGTTGTGGGTAGTGTTGAAGGCTGGTGGAGGGGTTGTGGGTAGTGTTGAAGGCTGGTGGAGGGGTTGTGGGTAGTGTTGAAGGCTGGTGGAGGGGTTGTGGGTGTGTTGAAGGCTGGTGGAGGGGTTGTGGGTAGTGTTGAAGGCTGGTGGAGGGGTTGTGGGTAGTGTTGAAGGCTGGTGGAGGGGTTGTGGGTGGTGTTGAAGGCTGGTGAGGGGTTGTGGGTAGTGTTGAAGGCTGGTGGAGGGGTTGTGGGTAGTGTTGAAGGCTGGTGGAGGGGTTGTGGGTAGTGTTTGAAGGCTGGTGGAGGGGTTGTGGGTGGTGTTGAAGGCTGGTGGAGGGGTTGTGGGTGGTGTTGAAGGCTGGTGGAGGGGTTGTGGGTGGTGTTGAAGGCTGGTGGAGGGGTTGTGGGTGGTGTTGAAGGCTGGTGGAGGGGTTGTGGGTGGTGTTGAAGGCTGGTGGAGGGTTGTGGGTGGTGTTGAAGGTTGGTGGAGGGGTTGTGGGTGGTGTTGAAGGCTGGTAGAAATGTGTAATTTCCAAGTAGAGAAACAAGATGGCCAGCACCGGATGTTAGATAGTCTCTTCCTGTGTCCAAGTTAAACTCTGGTCTACACCCTAGCCCAATAGTACTCTCCTCCCTATAGAACTTTTTTCTCCTCAAAGTAGTACAATAGTATTTATGAAAAAGCTTTGACCTCCTTAGTCACCACAGAGCATTATACTGCCCCACAGAAAACTATCTCACATTTCTTACAGAAGAGGGTAATTCCATAAGGACTGAAAATAAGGTGTATAGAAAAGATCTAATGCATGTATGTCTGTCTTGGAGACCGACTTCTGCAGGCACTGAATGAAGTCTCTAAGGATGAAATGTACAGATCCTTTCCACTCAGTTCTTCATTTACCATCTTTACGAATTTATGTCTTCAACAAGGAAACAATGTTTACGAGTCAGACACACGTGCAACAACAGTTGGGTTCCTCCACTGTCAAAATCTTCTGCCTGCTTACCAGGCTTCTTTGGTCAAATACAGAGGTGACTTCAGTATTGGACAATTATTAATCAGAATCAAAACTAAGCACTAAACCCACAAGGGGCATACAGCGCTGCAGGGTACAGAGTGCTGTGTAATATACTTAGATCTGAAACTAGCAAGGGTGCAGAGTATAACAGAGGTAGAGTTGGTAAGGGAAGTGAGAAGCACTAAAGGAAGTACAATCAAAGGTTGTGTAATAAATCTGATGCTGACAAAAAGTCAAAGAGGAAGTACAGGCAGTGATTCTGAGTGAAGAAGCTTGCTTACCAGGGAAACATTTATACATGTACAGTGAAGATGCCTAACTGTTGCATGTTTTTTACTCGTCTACTTGTCGGAATTGTATACCACTGATATAATGATACTTGTCTGATCACAGCAACCCCACAGTATCTCGGTACAGACAATATCTACAACTTCATTGTTCAGTTACTAGTTACGAATGAGAAGAGTCGGATTTGAGGACCTACTTAGCATGGGCCAGAAGGCCTGCTGCAGTACTTCTCAATTCTTATGCTCTTGCTTCTACTAATGGAACCTGCCTTCTGTGATGTCATTTCCAACTACACATCTCACTTCTGGCTCTAGTATAAAAGGCTTGCCTAACAGGAAAGCCCTTCTCTCTTCATTTATTAAATAATTTCTAGCAACTCTTTACCTTTCATGAGATAATTTGCAAGTGTCTGTTTTCCTTTATTTGATACAAGTCTCTCACTTGTCACATTTTTACATTTTCAGTTATTAGTATGGATGTCATTAAAATATTTTAAACCATTATTCTCATAGTTAGGTACCCTAACTCTGGCACATCTCTCAAAACATTTTGCAATCTGTGTATACTGCCTCAGGATTATATTAAGTCTTTGTTTCTCCATCTCTAAATAAGCATAAAAAAACATATTAAACATACAAGTTTCATTTGTGGTGGATATAGATTTAATTATTGAAATAACTGATGTTCAGTCCAGAGTAGCTTGCTGCATTTCATGTTTATGCACTTTAATGTATCCCCTTTATAATTCTGGCAAGTTTATTTACCAAATTTTTTTTATATAAATAATTTACCTTTAGTATAATACATGATCTAAGTATTGTTCATGACAGTAACTGTGTTAATTAGACTTTCTTTATTACAGACAATGCAGCAGTAAGGATGCGGACAGATGATGTGATGAACCAGGCAGCGGCAGCAACCGCAGGTATAGGCACGAGCCTTCTTGCTCTTGGGGGTGCCATATCTGCTGCTAATGCTAAAGGGTCAACTCTGACAGCTGTCTCGCCTGTCCTAGCCTTTGACCTTACAGCATATACTCAATTACTGCAACAAGTGGCTTCCAAAATGTATACATATGACCCAGCATCAGTGGCAGCTTTAGCAGCCCTCAGCCCAGCTTCCCACCTGCCACTGGCTCTTACTGCACCCCATGCCCTTTCTCTCACTGCCAGGAAGGTAACCAATGCTGATAAGACCACCATGACATCTGTTTGCTCATTACCAGATAATGACATCAAGAGGATCTGGCACCCCAGTGAAAAATCTGATATAAAAATTAAAGAAGAAGACGGTGAAGCTGCTCTTGATCTAACTACTCAAGGCTTAAAGTCACTGTATTCATCTTACCGACGGGCAACACTTGACGATATCAAGCCAAAAGTAGTTGAAGATATCTGGATTGAGAATGATTTGAGACTATCTTGGACAGATTCTCGAGTAGCTGCCTACAATCCAGCCCAGAAACTCTTCATGTGTGTGGACTGCGAGTGTGTGGGTTTTTTGTCACGTGTAGCAGAGCACTGGCTTGGAGCTCATGCCAATTTAAGAGTATTCGCCTGTCCTAGGTGCCCTTACACATCAGCCTGGTCCCGTTGTGTCAAAATGCACTTAACTAGACAACACAACGAACAGTTTGCTGACACCAATATGTGGAAGGAAAATTCAACTCTGATGGAAGTGACACGCCTCATGCAAGAATTACGGAATAAAGTGGAAAATAGGATTGACTCGAGTAATACACTAGCAGACAAACGTTTTTATTGTCCTCATTGTCCTTATGCTACTGATCGCCGTGATCTCTACACAAGACATGAGAACATCCACAAGGATGACAAACCCTTCCATTGCTATCTTTGCTTCAAACAGTTCAATAGAGCAGATCATGTGAAAAAACATTTTGTCCGAATGCATCCTGAAACAGAATACGATATATCTAAAATACGCAAACAACAAGGTAGTGGACGTGGAGGTGGTCAATCTCCACCACCACCACCGCCACCACCACCTATTGCACCATTACCTCTTGATATTCCACCACCACGTGTGGTGACACCTGTTGTCTCACCGCCTGTTGTGACCCCTCCAGTACTGTCCCCACCCACTGCTCCTCCTGAAGTATCTGTAGCAGATTTGGCTCCTTTAAGTGCTCCCTCTACTCCTGGGGAGTGCAGTCCAGCATCTCCTGAAGCTGTTTTAAGTGTGGGCACAGGAATGAGCATGATATCAAATGTGGAAAGTCCAGAACCTGGACGCAGTCGAAGACGAGGGGAACGAGCATACACATGTCCATACTGCCACTGGTCTGGTAGTGATAACTGGTGTCTCAAACGGCACATGAACACTCATATAAAGCCATTTGCTTGTGTCATGTGTGATTATAAAGCTGCACGAGCTGAACGTCTATCAACTCATGTGTGGAAGGTTCATAATAAGAGGATATGCAACAAGTGCAACTACCTGGCTGAAACTCAGGAGCGCCTACTGGAGCACACACGTGAGGAACAGTGAGTATTAACTGAAGCTTTCCTTATGACAAAACATTCTTTCTGAATTAATAATTTCCAAATCTTTGATATAAATAATTACAGTCATTTGAACAAATATTATTTTGGCTTTGCTTACTATTAGTGTACCATATAAGTAGCATAGCCATGTGATCATTTCAAGTATAAAACATGTATATAGCACTGTATGTATTAACTTTCAGTATAATGTTCTTCCTCAGCCACAACAACCCTTATTCAAGAAGATACATCTGTTCATCTTGTGGCCTCACCTTTGACACTCGTCCAGCTTTGGAGACCCACCAGCATCTCAGTCATCCTCACCTTACAAGCCCCACCAACACTGCTCCACTACCAGCAGTGCAAGACGTTCCACATGATCTGTCAATAAGAAGTGAAGTGAATTCCAGTGCTAATCCAGTCTCATATCCCTTTGTATGTCCTGTGGAAGGCTGCGGCCACACTGTGAGCAGTGGTGGAGCGCTTGCAGAGCATGTACGTACTGAACATGGAGGTGCCAGTGGATCGTGTTGTCCTCACTGTGGTTACCAATTGACCCATGATGAGCTATCAAGGGACCACTGGCTAACTCATCACAATGAAGTTTGTGCAGCATGTGTCCATGTTTTTACTGCTGTATATGGACCTCAATTATGGAAGAAAGTACATGTCCGCCCTGCCTCACTTGAAAGTTCCTTAGATGCTATTGTCACAGGCCTCAATCGTAAACGTACTGCTACTGATGTTTTACCTACTATGCCATCAGTGATAACTCCTCTTGCACTAGTAGTAACATCTTCAGTACCACAAAGAGATTCCCCTTCTCCAGAGTCTGACCAGCAAGATACAGACAGTGAACGATTTAACAAACGATCAAGGAAGCAAAGTTGTCCAAAGAAAGTTATTACAGTATCAGAGTCAGGCTCAAACACTGGATCTTCCTCAAATTCAGCTCGCAGGCGTAGCTCACTGAGGATACGACATAAGGCAATGCTCAATCGTCCAGGGTTTTTGAGTCGTCAGTGTCACAGATGCTCTCGCCGTCCAGTTTTTGGCTCTCGTGCTCGCCTACAATTACATGTGAAGTGGAGTCACGGCCGACACAGTGCTAGCCGTCAGTGCCAGCCACACAGGGACCACTCTTTGCCTGCTCCCACTCCAGTCCATTAGTGAAAAATTTCCTCATTAAGTAAATACAACGGGTAACCAACAATGCTGTTTTTTTTTTTTTGTTTTTTTGTTTTTACTTTTGGTAGCATTGCTATTAATGTCTGTATAGACAATTTTTTAAATTAAGTATATAAAATGCCACTTATCTGCAGATCTGTGCAGAGAAACATGAGTCTGCTGTAATTTTGATTAAATGTACCAGAACTCTATGCTTAGTTATCACAGTGTAGTACATAGTGATCAATTCTGTATGTGTTCTGGAAAGTTACAGTGACTCATACCTGAATAAGATAATTTCATATATCCCTCTGATTCCTATCCAAGTGGTTGTATTAAATCTTACCTCTGTCCCTCCATTTATAATTCCATTTTCTTGGCCCAAAGGCATTTCCACCAAGCATGCCCCAGAGTCACTGGTATGGAGCCTTTAAGTACAGTTACCTCGGCTTCATTTTTTACAAATAAAATATAACATATTTGTGGATGAAGTAACTAATGTTGAAGTGCATGGGGGCAATGACTAAAGCTCACTTTAACTGGTAATATACTGTATAATAAATGTATGAATGTTTTGAGTGTGCTAGGGGAATGTCCACGGGTTGGATTGGTCGGAAATTTTATAACTGGATGTACATGAAATATTTGTAAATGTTTCATGTGTGTCTGTGTGAATCTTAAGATCTGGTTGTGAAATAATGAAGTAACTCTCCCAAAGGTTGTGAAAATTATTAACTACCCTAAGTTAAAATTCTTTTGGGTTGTTAGACACTCCCAGTTGTTTTATGGTATCCCTGGTATCACACATATTAGACCTTGTTCAAATTAAAGCTTGGTTCTAGTAATAAAATTGCTAGCATATTATACTTATTTAATAATAAGTAACAATTTTAGAATTCACATTTTAAATATAAATAGTAGTCTGTGCAAAGTTATAAAAGAATACATATAATTATAACTTTGAATTGCTCTAATTTTTACCAAGAGTTGAGATCAGGGCATCCTGCGGGAGGTGGGTGAGGGAGAGAGAGAAAGTTCTCATTGTTGGACTTAGAACTTCAAGTCATGTTCAAAAGTCCATTTCAAACCAAAGATTTTGTTGATTTATTCTAGAACTGTGACTCTGTTGTGCATTGTTATGTTGCACCTTAATGGATTTCTGTGATTATTGTTACGAATGGAATGTCTACTGATTTGACCTTGTCTTGTAGGCCAAGTTCGCTGATGGTCTTTGTCTACTGAGCGTACTTAACCTGCCATCTGCCCATTGTTTCTTGCATTGTTATGCCAAGAAACTTGTGCTTTTTTTATTTAGATTTTTTTGTTAAACAGTTGTAGACTTGGCCTTCTAGTCAGACTGTTGCCAAAGTATAAATATTTAATAATCCAATGAGCTATGGTATGCCCAGCCACAATGTAATAAATACTGACCAAATGTCTTTGGTGCTAACAAGCATTTTTGTTCATAGTAATTTATTTAATACAACCTGCATCCTTTGATTTATATTGTACAAGATCTCCAATGACGATAAATATTTACATTCTTATTAAATATTCTTTCAAGCAAAATGTACCATATTTCTCTATGACAAAATCTTAAATCAAAATGTTTCAGTCGGACCAGCATATCGGGTTTCAAGTAACTCAGTGAGAAAAAAATGTGCTCAAACCAACAGGTATCGTGCCTAAAGCAGTTTTGTTATCAGCCTTGTAAATAACATTTTATGATTGTACACATAATAATTCTTCCCAAACACAGCTCAGGACTGTAGTTGTGAATGATTTTTTATTACCTAAGCAATGCCAACTACATAAGAGGATGATGCCTGCAGTAGTAGATGGTATGGCAATATCTGTGGTAACTGAAAAGACTCACGAACACTAACTGGAAACTTTATTTATATGACATTTTGCCTGTACAGCTGGCTTTTTCAAGTCATAGATTGTACCTGGTGGTAGCACATATAGGCAGGAGAGATCATTAGTATTAACAAATATTAGAGCACTGCATTAGGCCTACTTGCCCATATTAAACAGGTATACCTGGAAGGAGGTTTTGGGGGGTCAATGCCCCCATGCCCCAGTCTATGACCAGGCCTCAGGTCCTTAGTCTTCCTGGCACATTGAGTAACAATTAATGCTGGTAGTAGTAGTGGTTAAGTAGCTACCAACTACTACTAAAAGTAATATCATTATTCAACATGCTAGAAACTTGGGGCCTTATAAGTGTGGGACAGTATGCTACTGCAGTGCTTCTCTAATATTTTCTTGTTAACATCTAAGTTCCTCTCTCTCACCACCAGGAATTGTTTATCAGACTTTACATTCTGCCTAGCAGCAGGCTTTTCATCTAAATAGTATCTAGTTACTGACTGTCTTTATCAGTTACAAAGATGAAGCTTGAATTTATTTTTCAAAAGCTCAATACAATTCAAAATTTACTCATTTAAGAGAAATAATTAGTATGAAGCATCCTCTTTTGTCATGCTGGGGATATTAGCATATTGAAGAGTTTTCATTATGAAGACAAATCTCAGTGATGCAGAAATGGTACCTGGAGTCACCTTGTAGCCTATACTGTATAGTGAGGTGGGCTAAATTCACATAGGAATAATGTACAAAATCATCTTCAGTTATTTAATATGCTCATGAATTTAAAAAACAACTATAAAGTTATTGATGTTTTTAGGACTGGTAATTATTCTATAAGCTAAGAATGCAAAGCAACTATTTTGTGTATTTGATCTCATGTGAATTTAACTCACACAGCAGGGTATTCTGATAACTTATACGACTTAACGCTCACACTCATGCGGGATGTAACATCGAAGATTCAACTATAATCCTGTACTGAAGTAGTCATAATCTATAACCCATTTTATAAGAAGTCATGATTCCCCCTTCCATTATTTATAGTTGTATAAAGTAAAATTAGTGAATGACAAGTGCCATGTAGGCACAGTATGTCAATCTTATGAGAAAAAGTTGCTCCACTTTACAATATGCACATTTTTTGTGAGTTTAATTTGGTATAAAAAAATATTTTAGTCTTATGATACAAGATGTTAACCATATTTATAGGACAAAATATTGTAAAACGAAAATAGCAAAATCTTATTTTAATTACATACATACTTAAATTTGCAAAAGATGTGCATAATCTAAGTAACTGGAAGTACAACAAGGATTTTTATAATTTCCATCTTTACTTGGGTGACCCCTAAATTCAACCGGGCCATTCCTAGAGTTATTCTCGAGAAATCCTTTGGTTCTATAAATATTATTCCTCTGTTATAAAAAGCTTTATCTGGTATAATGAAAAGGTAACCTTTTTTTATCTACTTGTTTATGCAAAATCTGAAATACACACAATAACTAGTATTTTTGTGAGTAAATTTCCAGGGAATGCAGGTATGTCACAGCATATCACAAATACTATACTACCTGTATTAACCTAACCATACTAGATAAAGCTTGAAAGTACATTTCCTTGTAACCTATTTCTGTGTTAACAAGTTTACACCAACCATTCCCTTAATGCCTTGGATTACCTCTTACTATTATGTACTTTTTCATACCAATAAAAAATTATATAAAATCTTTTTCATTCCTATTTATTAAACAAAGGAAGAACTAAGAGGCTCTGTAGTAATATCATCTTTTTTTTTTTTTTTTTTTTTTTTTTCAACAAGTCGGCCGTCTCCCACCGAGGCAGGGTGACCCAAAAAAGAAAGAAAATCCCCAAAAAGAAAATACTTTCATCATCATTCAACACTTTCACCACACTCGCACATTATCACTGTTTTTGCAGAGGTGCTCAGAATACAACAGTCTAGAAGCATACACATATAAAGATACACAACATATCCCTCCAAACTGCCAATATCCCAAACCCCTCCTTTAAAGTGCAGGCATTGTACTTCCCATTTCCAGGACTCAAGTCCGACTATATGAAAATAACCGGTTTCCCTGAATCCCTTCACTAAATATTACCCTGCTCACACTCCAACAGATCGTCAGGTAGTAGGTTGGTAGACAGCAACCACCCAGGGAGGTACTACCGTCCTGCCAAGTGAGTGTAAAACGAAAGCCTGTAATTGTTTTACATGATGGTAGGATTGCTGATGTCTTTTGTCTGTCTCATAAATATGCAAGATTACAGGCATGTCTTGCTACTTCTACTTACACTTAGGTCACACTACACATACATATACACATTTATTCATACACACTCATCTGAGTTTTCTTTGATTTTATCTTAATAGTTCTTGGTCTTATTAATTTTCCTTTTATATCCATGGGGAAGTGGAATAAGAATCTTTCCTCCGTAAGCCATGCGTGTTGTAAAAGTCAACTAAAATGCCGGGAACAATGGGCTAGTAACCCCTTTTCCTGTAAAGATTACTAAAAAGAATAAGAAGAAGAAAATATCATCTTATTAAGAATAAAAAGATTACAGTAAAAGGCAGTCTAATACAAAGAAACACTTTGGTATTGCCTATCACAGTAAAGAAACAGTGAGACTGTCATTACTTATTGTGAGCTATATGTACCCTATTTAATAAATTATTACAGTATATATTAAAGACATGTATGGGCCATACAGCTCTGTTTAATGAAGGAAAATACTTCTTGTGATATATGTTTAGAAAACCGACAAGTTGAAAAACGAGACACTCGTGCAACATTTCAGAATCAATAAAGATTCCATAATGTTGCACAAGTGTCTCACTCTTCAAATACTTCTTGCACCTTGTATTTGAAGATGCAAATGAACTAATTTCAAACATATGTACACTGCTATTACAAGATTTACAGTATGTGTACTTAAGAAAGGGAGTACAGTATTGCTTAAAATAAGAAACCTATAGGTACATTATGAATTCCACAAAATTTAAGACACAATTCATCTATAAATTACAAGAGTACTCTGGAATAATTGTGAATAAAATCTATAAAAATGTAAGAAACCAAGCTATTGTTTGATCACATCAAATCAAATTGGGAAAAATATCACTGGCCCTTTTTCCAATCTACCTTACAATATTATGATATGGTCTTATAAAAAAAAATTGCCTTCTATGAAACTCTTCTGCTTCTCTCTTTTTCCCCCATCTTTTAGCATGACTGAGCCCTCCTACTTCTACTATATAAAATACATAACAGGGTAACAAAAAATCATCCATGCTTACCAAGAAAAGCTGAGTGACAGGACTGGGAACCTCCGCTGCTAATAGGGAATGTGTGTTGAGAGTTTGGGGTAGTTCATGCTTGTCATTCCAGCATGGAAAAAAAAAAAATTATCACCGTCCTTTTCCTTGATAAACCAAAACTTGATTCCAAAACAAATCACCCAAGGGCCAGACAATTTTAATAAGTTATTTTATGAACATGCTTATTTGTTGTAAGCTAAATTTATGTAAATTTAAAATCAATGTAAAGACTTGTTTCGAGATATCCTCCAGAAAGAGAGAAGCAGAAAAAAATGTGTGTATAAAATAGAGAAAGCCATGATGTATCCTCTACTAAAGACACTTAATTTATCATTAATGAAACAGCATATTAATACAGCATGCATTTTGCAACCCACAATTTGGAGAGGAAACTTTAGGCAATGTTTTCACCTGACCTGACTTCAAGGTTTTCCTCTCCTTCTCTCTTTCAATCATGACATGACAGTGGCCTGGAATAAAGTGAATATCTTCATAAATTTTCTCTCCAAATTGTGGGTTAAATGTTCCAGCTATATATCATTGTAACTTATTCTTTCTGCCTGATGCATGTATGCCTCTCCCAGCACAAGCACAGGCAGCACATATAGCATCACTTCCAATAGTACTTGTAAAAACAATGTTCTTCAGTGAATCAGTTAAAAGGGACTAAATTTATTTTAGCATTATTCTTTAAGCTAAACTTAAGGATCAATACAACATAGGGACAACTGACTTACATTTCCAGGTAAACAATTGTTTTCCTGCCTTTAAATTAAAGCATCAGATATATTTATACTTAATGGTTGAGACTGTACTTGATGGCTGACAGCACAATTTGTACAATTAATAACCTGCACTAAGAATAAAATAAATGATATATTTGTATTTAAAAAAATATTCACAGGCTAAAATATAGGAAACAGCTTTTAAAACTGTACGTAAGTGTTCAAGATTTTACAAAGTGAAGTCTACTACTGTATGCAAAAATACCCAACTACTTTGAGGAACAATGTAAAATGCACACAATCACGCATGTATGCACACGTGCACACACATGTACATGCACACATGCATGCATACACACACATACATACATTTTTATAATAAATGTATACACTAACACACACATCTTAAAATCTTTGAAAAAAAAAAAGGGGGCTAGAACATATATATTTTATACAATGACACTTCTAAATGAATCATTCATGAGAATCAACACACAAATGTATCATACAATACAGATCATAGCAAAGCTGATCACTGAAGTAATGTACAACGAATAAAAAAATTTGTCTTTAACAGTAAAAGTTAAATATCAAAATCGTTTTAAAATGATGCTGAAAGCCAATACTGTACTGTATATTTAGAGAGTTAATAAAAACCTATGCAGGAATATCTAACACACTGCTCCTGGCTTCTGACTGCAGGGTGATTACCAGAAAATCTGCCATCACCATTTCAATTACTGTTAATTATTTCATCTCACTTTGAAATACAAAAATGAAATTTTTTTAAATCATTACCGAAGTAAATATGTGGTTTATTAATGTTACAATAACTCAAACAAATGCCAGGAGCAAGGGGCTAGTAATCCCTTCTTTATAAATTACTAAATGTAAAAAGAAGAAAAACTTTGGTTTCTTCTTTTTCAAGTCACCCTGCCTTTGTGGGAATGGTCGGTGTTAAAAAAAACAAAAAAGATAGAAGAGTAGGGCAGAGGAAATGAGAGAGCTCAGGTAATAACAGCTATTATGGTAAAGAAGAGTACATTCAAGAAAAGATGCATATACTGTACACAAAAAAAAGAAGAAAAAAATAGACAGGAACAACTAAATTACAAAAAATAAAATGTGACAATTGAAGGTCGTATTTCTGAGAAAAAAATTTGAATATGATGAGGGTGATCATAAGCAAAGAAACCATATATGACAAGGAGTTTGTTAATGTGTATGAAATAGGTATCAAACAATATATTCCAGAAAAGGGTACAATGACCTAATAATGAAGAGTTAATGGAAGGTGCTGACAAGACAAGAAGAAAAAAGATAGGACTTGGACCCATTAAATATGTCAATCTAGCAACTTACCTGACATTTAAATACGCCAAAAATGAATGTACAAAGGTATGAAGTAAAGAAGGAACTTTTAAAATGGAAGAGAGACAAGGCTAAACTAAATACTACTGTATTCAAGTTTGTAAAAGGCAAACTGTGTAAGGAAAGACAAAATACGAAGAATTAAGGATGAAGAGAAAATTGCTAAATTGTGTAGTATACTGAAAATGAAGTTCCTTATGAAAGATTAATTTTGTTGAAAGAAAAAATAAACTGTATTATGAGGTAATATCAACAGTGGGCTGTCGCAAGAATCAGTACTTGTTCTATTATTATTATAATCATAACTATTGGCAGTTTGGAGGGATATGTTGTGTATCTTTATATGTGTATGCTTCTAGACTGTTGTATTCTGAGCACCTCTGCAAAAACAGTGATAATGTGCGAGTGTGGTGAAAGTGTTGAATGATGATGAAAGTATTTTCTTTTTGGGGATTTTCTTTCTTTTTTGGGTCACCCTGCCTCGGTGGGAGACGGCCGACTTGTTGAAAAAAAAAAAAAAAAAAAAAAAAAACGAAGTGCTAAACCCATAAGGGTCATACAGCACTTTGTTATAATAGTACCTCTATTTATATAAGTAGGTTAAGTTAATAGTGTGATAGCTGGATACTTAAGCATGTGATAACATATTACAAGTGCCAGACAAAAAGAGGAACTTAGGAACTACAATTGATACTAAAACGTCAATGAACAATTATATTCATTCATGAAATCATGAGACTCTTAGGTTATACTGGCCACTTTAATTAAAAATACACTTCAGATATCTGTACAGACATGAAATATGCTATAAGAAAAAAAAATGCTGTTTATGTATGGTATAACAAAATTGAAATATGGAGTGGTGGAATGGTGTCTGTAGGAGAAAGCCCTTGGATGTGCAAATGGAGTGTTAACAAGGTAACATTTATGAAGGAAGGGATTCAAGGAAACTGGTTAGCTGAATTCGAGTCCTTGAGGTTGGAAGTACAGTGTCCACACTTTGAAGAAAGGGTGGGGATGCTGCTATTCGGAGAGGTATCTAAATCGTGATGTCAGCACACATCTTGAAAGAAGAATATATATTTTCTTGCATCACCCTATCTAAATGGTAGACAGCCAGTGGTAAAAAAAAAAAAAATACAAAGGTACATACTGTATTTCCACAAGAAAAAATACAGACAGTAGATACTAGGAGTGGGAGATACATAAATAGGCCACAAAATGACCCAGACATGTTAGACAAACATACAGATTGTATACACAAAGCCATTCAGTGAAAATATGAAAAACACAGACAGCATGAACAAATGTTATCTGGTAGAGCTTTTATAGAGCCATTGTGAGATGTAAAACCTTCCTGAAAGCCGTTGTGTTAAGCCGACACATAGCATTCAAACTGTATGGAGGTTACTCATAAAATCTGCAATGTTGTGGTTAACATTACATCTCATCAGAATGACGTGATTACCTGAACCTGACTTGTTGTATCAGTGTTAAAACAGGATGCTAACATATACAGTATTTTATGTTTAGTGAGGTGGTTGTGGTGTTAGTGTTAATTCCTGTACCTCCATTCCTTCAAATGCCTTACACTTGAGGTTCATAGTTTAAATTATAAGAGACAATGATTAAATAAATAATTAATATTCATGGGGAAGTTAAGCCTGTATGGGCTGTACACCACCTAGGAAGTGGGAGGTAATCAGGTTTGATCCAAAGAACTGAAGGGTAGCTCAACTTCTTTGGATCAAGAGCTCTCTGCCATCATCAAGGCACCTTCCTTGAAAGATTCAATTTAGTTATATTCAATAACACTCAACATTTTTTAGGCTTTAGCACCCACATACTGTACTTTAAATTTGTATGACAAAATCTGAATAAGACATTGTATTCACTGGTTATAGCAAAGCTGTAATATGGATCATGCAGCACTTAATACAGGTTTATTATTTTTCTTGTAATATGGGACTGTTCTATTTTATACAGAGTAATCTACTGTTATATCACCTCAGTGGGATACAGATGGTACGTTGAAAGAAGATGATGATAATTATATATATATATATTATATATATATATATATATATATATATATATATATATATATATATATATATATATATATATATATATATATATAAATGATCATTATTATAAAATCATAAAAATTTTAATAAAATATATACAGTACTTAAAGCACAAGTCAGAAAATTCTACATTATATATATTTATACTATATGGTAAAACTAGCAACTAATATCTCCTGAGGCACAGTTTAGTTGCATGAAATGGAAAGATTCACATATTTATAACAATGTGCATGTACTACTGTACACCAAGAAAGAGAAATCATTCCAGCCATTATTTCTTCCCCTCTACCTACATAAATGTATTTATTTTCCTGTGTCTCATTCTCTATCACACACTAACTCATTTTCCCTTTTTCTTTCTTTTACATACACCACTGCACTTTCCATAGTACATTACTAATCTCTCTCTTTCTCATGCATGCATGTATACATATAAGTATATATGCATGTATATCCACATGAATACATGCATATATATCTACATGTATATATGCATGTATACCCACATGTATATATGCATGTAAATATGTAAGCATGTGTACATATGTGAATCACTGCTCTGCTCCTGAGATCACACTCACTCTGGATTAACTGCAAGAGTGGTCAGATAAGTAGTTGCTTGAATTTAACCCCAGCATATGCATGGTCATGAAGGTTGGAGAAGGAGCAAGAAGATCGAAAACAGGGTATAGACTATTGGAACAAAGCTGCAGACTTCACTTAAAGATAAAGACCTAGGAGTGAGCACATGCCAGTATATCAGCAAGCTAACATCAAACAAATGACCTCTGCAGCCAATGCTCATCTGGTAAATCTAAGAGTAGCCTTCAGGAATCTCAACAGTCATTCTGGGCTCATTATTAAACATACATCAGGCCAATCTTGGAGTATACAGCACCAGTATAGAACCGACACATGAAAAAAACATGTTAAGAAACTGAAGAAAGTGTAGAAGTATAGAAAAAGGCTTGCTTCTCAGCTAAGGGACATGAACACAGAAGATCCAGGGAGGACATGATAACAGCAAACAAGATATTCAGGAGAATCGATAACATAACAGATAGGCTGTTTGAGAGGTGAGGAACAGGAACTAGAGAACACTGCTGGTAGTTAAAGGCACAAATGAGCCACAGGTATGTTAGAATTTCTTCAGTCTCAGAGTGGGCAGAAGTAGAATGATTTTGGTGAGGAAGTGGAACGATTTTGGTGAGGAAGTGGTGGAGGAAAACTCCATATATAGTCTTAGGAGCAGGTACAACAGGACCCATGAGGCCATGAGGGAGTGAATCTGAAGAGAGGCAAGTGGCAGGACCAGGATCTGAGAATTGGCTCCTGCAACCACTGACACATTCACACACACACACACACACACACACACACCACACACACACACACACACACACACACACACACACACACACACACAAAACAAAATTAGTTATTGAAATGCAAAAGTTTTCATGAAAAAAATACAGCTAGCAAATACATCATGGTAGAAACAGTGAACTAAGGATCAATACCCAGTCCTAAACCTGTCCACCTATCTGGAGTGAGGAGGAAATAGCGATCCATGGCATGGCAAAAGCGTGTACGGTACACTTCAGGTGACACCACTGTAGGCAATCTTCCTGCTCCACCACCCAGCACACTACCTTTGATTATCGTCTCCAGTTTTTTGTCCCAGGTGAAGGTTCGGATGTAATCTAAGGAATAGAGATGAATAAAGCTAAATAAACACTAACAAAAATTATTTGCATATAGTGTACTATGCAATGTAATAGAGGATTCAGTGATAGCAGAATTATCTATGTCCTCCTCACCTTCAAAATATAGCACAGGAACATCACACAAAGACAATTAAATAAATAAAACCTATTTAATTTCGTTTAAGTTTGAGTGAATAAAACGAATTAAAATTTTGCGTTTACCAGTGGAAGCAGTGTCTGAGTAATTTGCTAAAATATAAAAACATCCAGAAAAGAAGATTATGGTTTTATTTTACTTGAAGAAAAGGTCAGCAACAGTAACAATGGTGACAAAGCATGCAGAAGGATAAGTTGACCTAGACTGCTTACAAATCCAGGTTGAATGTCTGGGGATATCCAAGTAAAGGTTGGAAAGAGGCAGCATTGCAAGATAAGGCTTGAAAATCCAACAGATATAGAGTTTTGGAAATTGAGAGTACTGGAGAAAGCTTGCATTTCTGTCAGTTATGAATGCTGTTTAAAGGTAGGTCATCACTGGATCATAATATCTATGCCACTGCCCTACTGGAATGACAGCTAGGGAACAAGTGATGGTGTATGTTTTTCTTTTTTCATTCCTCCTGCAATGGTGAAAAAAATTAAAAAACACAAAATAAATTCCTAAAATGAGAAGTGTTACTAACCGATTATACCAATAACGAGCTCATTAGCAGTAGTGTCGATGCCAACTAGAAGAGAGTAGTCCATGATGAGCTGCTGTGAGAGAAATGCAGTGTCTGCAGCAATGGCCCGACTTATCACAGTCTTGCTATGAGGTCTTACATACAGTGGAGAAGAACATGCCATCCTCAGCAAATTTTCATCTAATAACACCAATTCAGATTCCTACAAAATAAAACATGTTGATACTATATCAAACTTCTAAACAGCTGGGCACAAATCTATGAAGTAAAATAAATGTCATAAACAGATTTAAAATATGCACTGCATAAATGTAATCGAGTGGCATGAGTCATATAAAGAATTGTGAAAACTAGTAAATTTAAAAAAAAAATCTTTCAAAAGAATTATGCACTCTATTGGGAATATACTGTGTGTAAAAATATAAATCCCATATTCAAAGTATATTTTACTTAATACAAACATAAAAAATATACAGTAACTATCCATATACTGAACATTTGCATAGCTTAATTTTGCTTAGCAATCAAGGATACATTTGAGAAAAAGATGCACACAGCAGCCATCTGGCAAGAACCAGTATCCATCTGAACAAGCAATCAAACATTTGAGTATCACATGTCAAACCTATTTAAGGTTAATGAATATTAAAGTCCTAGGTAGTAGGTTGGTAGACAGCAACCGCCCAGGGACGTACTACCGTCCTGCCAAGTGAGTGTAAAACGAAAGCCTGTAATTGTTTTACATGATGGTAGGATTGCTGGTGTCCTTTTTTCTGTCTCATGAACATGCAAGATTTCAGGTACGTCTTGCTACTTCTACTTACACTTAGGTCACACTACACATACATGTTTTTTTTTTTTATTATCACACTGGCCGATTCCCACCAAGGCAGGGTGACCCGAAAAAGAAAAACTTTCACCATCATTCACTCCATCACTGTCTTGCCAATGAAGGGTGCTTTACACTACAGTTTTTAATCTCGCTCCAAAACTTTTTCTTATTTTCAACAAAATTTGTTGATAACATCTCACCCACTCTCTCATTTGCTCTCTTTTTACATTGCTTCACCACTCTCTTAACCTCTCTCTTTTTCTCCATATACTCTTCCCTCCTTGCATCACTTCTACTTTGTAAAAACTTCTCAAATGCTAACTTTTTCTCCCTTACTACTCTCTTTACATCATCATTCACCAATCGCTCCTCTTCCCTCCCGCACCCACTTTCCTGTAACCACAAACTTCTGCTGAACACTCTAACACTACATTTTTAAACCTACCCCATACCTCTTCGACCCCATTGCCTATGCTCTCATTAGCCATCTATCCTCCAATAGCTGTTTATATCTTACCCTAACTGCCTCCTCTTTTAGTTTATAAACCTTCACCTCTCTCTTTTCCCCGATGCTTCTATTCTCCTTGTATCCCATCTACCTTTTACTCTCAGTGTAGCTACAACTAGAAAGTGATCTGATATATCTGTGGCCCCTCTATAAACATGTACATCCTGAAGTCTACTCAACAGTCTTTTATCTACCAATACATAATCCAACAAACTACTGTCATTTCGCCCTACATCATATCTTGTATACTTATTTATCCTCTTTTTTCTTAAAATATGTATTACTTATAACTAAACCCCTTTCTATACAAATTTCAATCAAAGGGCTCCCATTATCATTTACACCTGGCACCCCAAACTTACCTACCACACCCTCTCTAAAAGTTTCTCCTACTTTAGCATTCAGATCCCCTACCACAATTACTCTCTCACTTGGTTCAAAGGCTCCTATACATTCACTTAACATCTCCCAAAATCTCTCTCTCTCCTCTACATTCCTCTCTTCTCCAGGTGCATACACACTTATTATGACCCACTTTTTGCATCCAACCTTTACTTTAATCCACATAATTCTTGAATTTACACATTCATATTCTCTTTTCTCCTTCCATAACTGATCCTTCAACATTACTGCTACCCCTTCCTTTGCTCTAACTCTCTCAGATACTCCAGATTTAATCCCATTTATTTCCCCCCACCGAAACTCCCCTACCCCCTTCAGCTTTGTTTCGCTTAGGGCCAGGACATCCAACTTCTTTTCATTCATAACATCAGCAATCATCTGTTTCTTGTCATCCTCACTACATCCATGCACATTCAAGCATCCCAGTTTTATAAAGTTTTTCTTCTTCTCTTTTTTAGTAAATGTCTACAGGAGAAGGGGTTACTAGCCCATTGCTCCCATACATGTACAAGCATATATACACACCCCTCTGGGCTTTCTTCTATTTTCTTTCTAGTTCTTATTCTTGTTTATTTCCTCTTATCTCCATGGGGAAGTGGAACAGAATTCTTCCTCCGTAAGCCATGCGTATTGTAAGAGGCGACTAAGATGCCGGGAGCAAGGAGCTAGTAACCTCTTCTCCTTGTATATATTACTAAATTTAAAAGGAGAAACTTTTGTTTGTCCTTTTGGGCCACCCCGCCTCGGTGGGATACGGCCGGTGTGTTGAAAGAAAGAAGAAAGAATATTAAAGTGAAAATTAAAACCTACGAGCTTTCTTTCATGGTATATTATATATATCTGTGAATCATATTGATCTGGATTAAAGGGAAATGATGGAAGGCAACTTAATGTAACATCTTTTCCAAGCTAAGAAATCTTGTCTTGTAAAATCTGATTGAAATTAGGCAGTAAATATGTTTACATAATAACAATGCTCTCCATGGGGAAGTGGAACAGAATTCTTCCTCCATAAGCCATGAGTGTCATAAGAGGCGACTAAAATGCCAGGAGCAAGGGGCTAGTAACCTCTTCTTCTGTATACATTACTAAATTTATAAATAGAAACTTTTGCTTTTCTTGTTTGGGCCACAATGTCCTGTCTCAATGTCCTGCTGGTGCATTGAAAGAAGAAGGAATAACAATGTATTTTGACTGTCATATAAAAGAAATCATTTATTATGGGGGAATATTTAGTAGAGTAACCAATGTTTATTTCACTATCTAATAATATATGCCACCAATTCTAGTCCATTACCTGTAACTACTGCTTATATACAGGACACAAAATGCATAAAATGCTTTTTGTTTATAAAAAATGCAAATCTGAATCAGGTGAGAGGTAAAGAGTTAGAGAATTAATTACAAGACTACCTGGTGATGCTTATGGCAGATAAGGAGGTTAATGAATGATATTAGTCCAAGAACCAGGGCAGTAAAAAAGTAAGCAGTATACTGATAATGAACAATGGAGGCATATTCAAAGAAAACCAAATGAGAATTGGAAAAGATGCAACAACACAAAATAAAACTTTTTTTTTTTTTTCAACAAGTCGGCCGTCTCCCACTGAGGCAGGGTGACCCAAAAAAGAAAGAAAATCCCCAAAAAGAAAATACTTTCATCATCATTCAACACTTTCACCACACTCACACATTATCACTGTTTTTGCAGAGGTGCTCAGAATACAAAAGTTTAGAAGCATATACATGTACATATAAAGATACACAACATATCCCTCCAAACTGCCAATATCCCAAACCCCTCCTTTAAAGTGCAGGCATTGTACTTCCCATTTCCAGGACTCAAGTCCGACTATATGAAAATAAAATGTTGTTATACGTATATAGTAGCTCTGAGGCTCTTTAAGCAAACAAACTGTTGAAAATATTAAGTGATAGATAGGCTAAAAGTGAATTTTTTTTTATTAGAATCTCACCTCTTTCCCCAATGTATTCACAAGTCTATTTCTGATTGATCCTTTAAGGTCGAATTTGTGAGCAATGTTCCGCTGATAAAACAAATTCTCCATGACCAACACATCCATACGCTGGGCTTTATTAGTGGTTGTGTTCTTGTAGCCAATTCGATACACACCTGTTAAATCAATACATGAGAAGACAATCAATACTATTAATAGCATAAAACAATGGTACTGTTTCTAAAATTAATAACAAATGTTGCATTAAAATTTTTAAAAATAACAAAATATTTCTGCTCTCATAATACCATGCTTTACATGGTAAAATCTATTTACTAAATAAGCTTGAGAAAATAAGCAAATGAATTGTGAGGTCAATGTGATATGGGAGATGGCCGACTTGTTAAAATAAAAAAAAAAAAAAAATTACATAATCAAATTCAAAATGGGAATTGACACAGTTACTTTTTGCTGATGATACTGTGCTTATGGGAGATTCTAAAGAAAAATTGCAAAGGTTAGTGGATGAGTTTGGGAATGTGTGTAAAGGTAGAAAGTTGAAAGTGAACATAGAAAAGAGTAAGGTGATGAGGGTGTCAAATGATTTAGATAAAGAAAAATTGATATCAAATTGGGAGGAGAAGTATGGAAGAAGTGAATGTTTTCAGATACTTGGGAGTTGACGTGTTGGCGGATGGATTTATGAAGGATGAGGTTAATCATAGAAATTGATGAGGAAAAAAGGTGAGTGGTGCGTTGAGTATATGTGGAGTCAAAAAACGTTATCTATGGAGGCAAAGAAGGGAATGTAGAAAGTATAGTAGTACCAACACTCTTATATGGGTGTTGAAGCTGGGTGGTAAATGCAGCAGCGAGGAGACGGTTGGAGGCAGTGGAGATGTCCTGTTTAAGGGCAATGTGTGGTGTAAATATTATGCAGAAAATTCGGAGTGTGGAAATTAGGAAAAGGTGTGGAGTTAATAAAAGTATTAGTCAGAGGGCAGAAGAGGGGTTGTTGAGGTGGTTTGGTCATTTAGAGAGAATGGATCAAAGTAGAATGACATGGAAAGATTATAAAATCTATAGGGAAGGAAGGCGGGGTAGGGGTCGTCCTCGAAAGGGTTGGAGAGAGGGGGTAAAGGAGGTTTTGTGGGCAAGGGGCTTGGACTTCCAGCAAGCGTGCGTGAGCGTGTTAGATAGGAGTGAATGGAGACGAATGGTACTTGGGACCTGACGATCTGTTGGAGTGTGAGCAGGGTAATATTTAGTGAAGGGATTCAGGGAAACCGGTTATTTTCATATAGTCTGGACTTGAGTCCTGGAAATAGGAAGTACAATGCCTGCACTTTAAAGGAGTGGTTTGGGATATTGGCAGTTTGGAGGGATATGTTGTGTATCTTTATACGTATATGCTTCTAAGCTGTTGTATTCTGGGCACCTCTGCAAAAGCAGTGATAATGTGTGAGTGCGGTGAAAGTGTTGAATGATGATGAAAGTATTTTCTTTTTGGGGATTTTCTTTCTTTTTTGGGTCACCCTGCCTCGGTGGGAGACGACCGACTTGTTGAAAAAAAAAAAAAAATATATATATATATATTATTTATATATACACCTACCAGGTACCATCCGACTTACGGCCGAGTTCGGTTCCGAGAAACCGGTCGTAAGTCGAAATGGTCGTAAGTCGAACTTTACTACTGAATATCAACAAAACATTTTTGTAATGACTATTTTATTGTTTTATTTTGGTATTTCATGTTTTACTTTAATTTTTATGCTGTTAGTACTGTATTTTATACTGTAAGGTTTAGGGTAAACACTGTGTACAACACAAATAGTTGTTTATTTCCCAGAAATTTGGCATAAAAAAAGCGGTCGTAAGTCGAATGGTCGTAAGTCGAGCAGGTCGTAAGTCGGATGGTAGGTGTATATATTATATTATACATTATATATTGTATTATATATTATATATCATATATATTATTATATATTATTACAGTGGACCCCCGCATAACGATCACCTCCGAATGCGACCAATTATGTAAGTGTATTTATATAAGTGCGTTTGTACGTGTATGTATGGGGGTCTGAAATGGACTAATCTACTTCACAATATTCCTTATGGGAATAAATTCGGTCAGTACTGGCACCTGAACATACTTCTGGAGTGAAAAAATATCGTTAACCGGGGGTCCACTGTATTATTATTATTAATTTTTATATATTATTATTTTTAAATTTTATTATTTTTATTATTAATTATCATTATATATTTATATTTTATTTTATTTTTTAATATTACAATATAATTTTTTTAATAACCGGATTTTGAGTCTTGAAAATGGGAAGTACAATGCCTCACCTAAAGGAGGGTTTGGGATTTTGGCATTTTGGAGAGATATATTGTTATTTTTAACGTAATTAAAAAAAATTCTAAGCTTTGTATCTGGGCACCTCTCAAAAACATGATTATTGTGAGTGAGGTGAAAGTTTTTTGAATGAGCGAAAGATTTTCTTTTTGGGGATTTTTTTTCTCTTTGGGTCACCCTGCCCGGTGGGAGAAAACCGACTTGTTTAAGAAAAAAAAAAAAAAATTATATATAATATATATAAATATTTATATAATTATTTAATTTTAAAAATATATAATTTTTAAAAAATATTTTATTTTATATATATATATAAAATATATTATATTTTTTATTTTATTTTTAAATAATATATTATATATATAAATATATATATAAAATTTATATATTTTTAAAATATAAAATATATATTTTTATATATATATAATATATATATATAATTTAATAATATATATATATTTTATATTAATATATATTATATATATATATATTAATATTTATTTTAAAAACTTTAAAAATATAATATATATAAATATATTATATATTATTTATATATATAATTAAATTTATATTTATATTAAAAAAATTAATAATTTTTTATTACAAAGGCCCCCATTTAGGTTTACCTCCCCCTTTAAAGCAAAACCCGCTTAAAAAACCCTTTTTTTTCCCACTTCCAAATATACAAACATAGATAAAATTAAAAACAATTTAATTGCAAAGAACCGGCACAAAAAAAATAAAAAAGACAAGCACAATAGTCACTCATTATTACCTTAAAATTTTTAAGGGGTGAGAAAGTAGTATTTATTGAAAAATCAAGGGGGTTGTAGGGTATCACCGGGTACCATCCCAGGCCACCCCCCCCACACATAAATTCTTAATTTAAGCACCGAGCGAAAAATGTATATACATTTCCCCTCATTACTTCCCTTAAAATATGGGGAGAGAGTAGTAAAAAAATTTAAAAAAATAATGGGAAGGAGAAGGTCCATAAGGGCCCCCCAACCCCAAAATTTTTAAATTTAACACCAGGCGAAAAAAGTAATCATTTCACTCTTTTTTAAAAATTTGTAGTTTTAAATGAGGGTAGAAATAAAGAAAAAACAATAAATGAAAAAAAGAAATGATGCTGGGAGAAGGGCCCAGGTTTAGTAAAAAAAGGGGCGGGTAAGTTTTTAAATAGTGAGTTGGGTTTTTGGTAAATTAAATTGTGAAAATTGTCTTACTTATACTAGAAAAGAAAAATCCTTTCCAGAAACACTTTTTTTGAGAAGAAAAATGCTCTGATAAGGGGAAATGGCATCTCTTTTTGGGGTTATCAGGTTTTAAATATTTTTGTTATTTATTAATTATGAACTGTATTTGTGTATTAAAAAATTACAATTTTAATGAAGGAATAATTTTTTTATTTTAATTAAATTTTTTTTTTAAATTTTAAGAAATTATTTTGGGCTCCTTGTCAGTTTTCGGGGTTTCCCCACATCTCATTTTTGTTTTTTTTCTTTGTGGGGTTTTATCATCTTTTTTGTTATGTTCGTGTTTTTTATTAATTTTAAAAAAAATTCAGGGATGGATTTGAAAATTTTATTTAAAGAAATAAAAAAACATTTAATAGACCCCGGTGTTTTTTATTTTATTATTTTATTATTTATTATTATTTTTTATTATTATTATTATTATTACTTTTTTTGGGGCCGCACTTGTGCAAGTGGGTCTGCTAACATCTTATTTTGTTTATTTATTTATTGTGGGGGTATTTACTTTTTTTGTATTATTTTTTTTTTTTTTTTAAAAATTCATGGGGGGAAAAAAAGAAAATAAACCCCAAAAAG